TAGGCAACATAGCACAGTTTTTATTGTGGTTAGTTTTAATAAAATGGCTTTGTGTGTTTGGTTCTCACTCTATTTTCCCTGCCTTACCAGTTTAACCGCTTAACTGTCACATCACAGGACCAAAAGTGAAACAAGGATGAAGAGCACAATTAATAAAAAACACTTAAAATGTGTTTGTAAGCACACCTGCCTCATTTCTTTCCTCACTCACCGCCTATAATACAGCTCTCCTCCCCCCCATATCTGTCAGCCTTGAGTCTCCATTTTTTGATGCCTACCATAAGAACACAAACTGATCTTTGAACGTAAACACAGACTTAACATCATCCTCCCTCCCCAATGCTTTAAACCTACAAGCATATCATGTTATCTATTAGCATGTTGACCTTAAAAGCAATGCTCTATAGGTGAGCTAAGATGTTAATAGCAAATACTTACTACGCCCTCAAAACAAAACCTAATGTTATGCCATTAGCACCCATTCCGACTGTTCTTTGATCAGGATAACTGAGGAATAATGTATAACAGACGGTCGGATCAGCTAGATTTAAAGCAATTTAATCTCAACTATTATCTACCACAACCACAGATCATGTTAATGTTAACTAGCATTATTCCCAGCCTCAGACAAAGTGATATGCACTGTGTACACAGTCTATTGCGCTGTCGACTAACACACACCAAACTCTCTGTATTAAATGTAATCTTATGCAGTAACATGTACAAATCTGCACTAAACACATTAAAAGGTGTATATTTACTTGTAGCAGCTCTCCAGCTTAAAATGTTGAGTTGACAGCAACTTTAAGCTCCTGTTTCCTTCTCTGGGTCAGGCAAGTTTTTTAGAACAGAAAGAGGGGCAATGATATTTCCAACAATATTGGGGGATTACATGGCCAAGTTATAATTATTGAAGAAGTGTTGTATGGTTGATTGATGGAGGTGACATCCACTCTGGAAGTTACACCGATGTTAAAACAACTCATGCATAATCAAACAATGGAATCATTCAAGTAACGTTGCTGCTGTCACTATTCATCATCTTGTTTATTTGATTTAACAGATGCACAGGTTTTTCCTTGAACTGTAACTTTTTCTGCATCAGGAGTCACAGAACCGGTTCACTGGTCTCAGAACACTCATAGTCACAAGGGCTTATTTTTATCACAGGTATTTTTACCACCTGATAACCAAAAGTGAGGTTTGACAGGCATTCTTGAAGGAGTGCAGGGACCTGAGGGAGCCCCTTTCTACTTTTGATGTCCACACACTTAGTGTGAAGTCTTCCTCCTCAGCAGAAACAGATTGATAGGTAGGGACAGATTAGAAGGATGCAGAGTGGCAGTTTATGGCACACCCAATTCCTCCACAATGGTCTTTCTTCTACAGGCTCGTGAGCTCAACTCTGCCCCACTGTTCAAATAAGAACAGCCCTTTTCTGAAACCCTAACCTAATCCACTTCCAGAAATCATTGTCTGGGAACACTGTTCACCGTACAATCCACAAATACAAGTTAAAGCTGTATCATGCAAAGAAGAGGCTATATGTGAACACGATCCAGAAACGCCACCGTCTTCTCTGGGCCAAAGCTCATTTAAAATGGACTGAGGCAAAATGGAAAACTGTGGTCAGATTAATCCAAATTTTAAATTCTTTTTGGAAACCACAGACACTGTGTCTTGTGGACTCAAGAGGAGATGGACCATCCAGCCTGTTATCAGCGCACAGTTCAAAAGCCTGCATCTCTGATGGTCTTGGGTTGCATTAGTGCCTATGGCGTGGGCAGCTTACACATCTGGAAAGGCTCTGTCAGTGCTGAACAGTATACAGAGGGTTTAGAACAACATATGCTGCCATCCAAACAGCGTCTCTTTCAGGAAAGGCCTTGATAGTTCAGTAAGACGATGCTAAACCACATACTGCATCCATCACAACAGCATGGCTTCACAGAAGAAGAGTCCAGGTGCTGAACTGACCTACCTGCAGTCCAGACCTTTCACCAATAGGAAATATTTGGCGCATCATGAAATGAAAGATCCAGCAAAGAAGACCCAGAACTGAGCAGCTAGAATCCTACATCAGACAAGAATGGGACAACATTCCTCTCCCAAAACTCCAGCAGTTGCAATTGGTTTCTTCACTTCCCAGATGTTTACAGACTGTCATTAAAAGAAGAGGGGATGCTACACAATGGTAGACACGGCCCTGTCCCAACTTTTTTGAGATGTGTTGCTGTCATCAAGTTCATGTTCTATTGCGTTAGCACAAAAACTAATTCATAAGTGATAAGCAACAATATATTGACTGAGGAACATTTCTCTGTTTAGTAATTTTTAGAAAGAAGATGCCACAGCTCACCCTTGTTTTCTACTGGCTGACGCTTCCAAGGTTTGCAAATTCGCAGGGTTAAAGTTGGCTTGGAGTGAAATTTAACGCTAACAGAAACATTCATTTTTCTCATTTTTTGATTTTTCATCAGCTGCTCGCCAATTTTTTATCTGTATTCAATAAAGTATATGGTATATATCTTCATAGCAAAAAAATTAAAATGAGAAGACAGAGGCTGATACAATAAAGCTTGGATATAAAATAAGCATCCAGGAAAGGCTGAGTCCCTAATGAGCAAGAATGGGTCAAGGCACTCCACTTTAACAAAAATGCATCAGCAAAAAAAACCCAAAAAGTTAAAAAACAATGTTCCTCAGTCAGCCAACAACATCTGTCACTTCAGCCACAAATGCAAGACTGTTCTATGCACAATGGAAATCATATACTGAGAACATCCAGACTGTTTATGGAAATGGACATTGTATTCTCCAGGCCAAAAAAGAAAAGGACCATCCAGACTGTTACCAGCGTAAAGTTCTAAATCCAACGTCTGTCATGTTGTGGGTGGGTAATAGTGGGTGCACATCTGTGAAAGCACCATTAACACTGAACACATTTTGGAGCAACATATGCTGCCTTCAGATGATCTGTTTTTCAAGGACATCCATTACATATTTCATTACCACAACACCAAGAAACATTCTTCACACGTTACAACAGCATGGCTGCTTAATCAGAGAGTGGCCTGCCTAGCTTTTGAAAATGTGTGGTGCATTATTCTCAATACTGGATCAGTTTGTGTCTTCAGTCCCCAAGAGATTATTAAATGCTTTTAAAAAGAAAGCAGGCAAAGACTTTTGGATCATTGTCTGTTTTGTCTGCTTCAAGCCATATAAGGCTCCAAAGAGCCCCCAATACATCCACTTCTTCCAATTCCAAAAGGCTTAAGCTTAAAGTCAAAGTCAAAGTTTATTTATATAGCAGTTTTTACAACAGGTGTTGTCACAAAGCAGCTTTACAGAAAAATCCAGGTCTGAGCCCCCATGAGTGTCGCCAATGGCGACAGTGGCAAGGAAAAACTCCCTAAGAGCAACAGGAAGAAACCTTGAGAGGAACCAAGACTCAGAAGGGGAACCCATCCTCCTCTGGTCGACACCAGATAGCAAACAGTGTTAGTATAAAGTATTATAGTACAAAACGGGGAAAACAGGTGGAGCAACGGTTAATTAGATAGTTTGAGTTCATGCAGTAGCAGGAGGGTCAGTTCATGCAGGTGAGGTTTGCACAGCATTGTACAGCATGAAGCTCCATGGTGGTCAGAATGGTGCAGATCAGCCAACAGAGATGGAGCTCTGGTGACTCCCATGTGGCGACTCAGGCAAAGGTCGCTCAGGGGCTCAAATAAAGAGAGAGAGAGAGAAATTGATTAACAGGACAGGTCAGTTTATGGAGAGATATTAGTGAGATAATAGTGCAACAACTGATATTGGCAAAATGCTTGTGCAAACAGAAATTTTTTGAGTCTAGTTTAAATGTAGAGAGTGGTCTGAGTCCCTGAGTTTGGCACATTGTTGGCTACTAACATAGAGGCCTGGATATGAAAAACTTGCCTCCGCTATTGATTTTGTGACCTCTGATCAGGTCCTGTACCATCAAATAAATGCAGCTAAATTAAAAATATAACGTATGAAGTAAAAATAGTACAAATTCAAAACTCTAAAGTAAATTAAAACTGTTTTCCTGTCATGGCATTCAGCCAAGAATTTGGCGCACCCACCCATATCCCTGACACTGACTAGAGGTTTCCAGTTTCAGTTGAATGAATGCTGCCACCTCAGCCACATCAATTTAGTTCCTACAGCAAAGTTTCTTCTTGATTAAAACCCTTTCAAGGGTGTGTTTGCTTGGAACAATCCTGTTCAATTCAGTGACTAAGACTAAGATCTCATGATTCATAAAACCACATTTGACATATTCTTTCATGTGTTCACAATCCATTTGATAGGCTGCCTCTGGCTTTGTGTGATTAAAATCTGAAGAAGGCTCAAATTCCATACATTGAACAGACCAGTACACACATGGTCTATTTATCTCAAAATAAGTAAGTATAAAGTCTTTGATGCACACGCATCTTATAATTACAACTTCACATCTGATAATGACTCACAATCTCAATGACTTAGTATCTGAATAATGACTCACTGTCATAATTATGAGTTACAATATTATAATTATGGCTCGGTATTTTATTATTACAACTTCATGTCTCATAATTATGTTACATGTTATCATAATTAACTACACTGTAAAGAAAAGGCTCGCCAGATCTACCTAAAAAAAATTACTTTATGTGGAAACAAGCCAATAAATTAGTTTTATTCAACCTAAATAAATACTTTGAATTCACGATTCTTTCAATCAACGTAATTTGAGTCGAATAAAACGAATTAATTTACTTGTTACCACATTACTCTTATTATTATGCCACACTATTTTTTTCCTGAGGTGGAAATTGGCTGTTATAGGCTCTGAGTTAAACCATTCACCAAAGTAAAATACTATATGACACAATCTAGCAAATCACCTGCTAAGCTTTACACATACATGGACAGACTTTTCAGTCTATCACAGTCAGTCTTTGTGAAACTTTGTGACTTTTCGTTTTTCACAGGTATCATTTTTGTGTGTGTGTAACGGAGCCCCACCCTCCCCCTGAGGATCGAAAGTGAACTTGCGCCATTTATATAAGAGGAGCTCCAAACGTACTCAGTTTCCTTTATCCTGAGACCTCGGATCAGGTAAGCACTTTCATTTTTGTTGACTGTGGAATTAACCGTTAAAATGACATGCAAATTAAAAAGATGCTTTTGGCCAGAAAGGTATGCACATCTGTCATGGACGGTGTTTGTGCTGGCTTTCACAAAGTCTCTGGATGTTGAAAGTGTGGCACGTTACATCCTTTGCTCTGGTGATAACTCTAAGGACACCTCACAGACATTACATCAAATAATCTTTTTAAAATGTAACCACCAATGTTGCCTACAGTTGGAGGGAGATGCAACTATTGAATTTAGCAATACTATAAAATGAGCTTTATTATCTGTGGTAAAACTAAACCTGATAGCCACGACATTTTACTTTACAATGGTTAAGAATGCTTATGCTTAAAAATGCCATGCCAACAAGAAATCAGTCAGTTTGTGGCCTTAGATTACATGATTTAAACACCTGCACCCCTGGTGACACAGCTGTTTTAGGCTATATATTGAATAGTACTCACTGTAACTATTATTTAATGCAACTTTTAGGTTCCCTGTTTTAATTATTACAATAAATTAATGAGGCACAGTGAGGAAAACAATAACGCTCTGTAAAAATTGTTAATAAGAGCTGCTTTTCAACTGCATTATTGAAGATGTTCTCTCTCATCCACTTGTAACAGATTGAGGGACCTAGACGCACCTGTCTGAGCAGCTCCTGAAGAAATCGTTTCGAAAGGAGAATTTTGCCAAACTACTCATATATCGACAAAATATACGGTAGGCTATAATTCATATATCGTACGTAACTCATTTCAGTGTTAGAGGAAAGCTTAGGAGAAATGATGACTAATAGCCTAAAAATCCATTTGTATGTATTCATGTTAGGAACACGCCATGTGTTTGTTACTCACCTCTATATTATAAGAATTAGTTTACATCACCAGAAGATATGTAAGATTTAGAAATCAGCTTTGAATTTTAAGGGTCACTATCACTTTTAGTCTACTTGTGAGTATTTCACTTTCACTTTCAGGCTACTTGAAGGTCCACACCACCGCCCAGCCGTATTATATTGTTACAGGCTATATATAAAACTGATTGTGATAGTAATGTGGCTCCAGAGCTGCATGCGGCTCTTTTACTGTCCTGTTGTGGCTCCACAGCAGAATCAGATTTGTAGGTATAAATAAAATAATCCTCCTTTACAGTAAAATAAAGCTCTGCTGATCGTTCAACACAGTTTAACAATAAATGGTCTTAAACTCTGGAGTTAATGTAGAACTGCTAATTCACCCTTTAACCCTGAAGATCAGTGCAGACTGCTGGTCACCATAGCAAATCTGCAACGAGAAACTGTCAAACAATAGAAAGCCATGAAGCTGAAGTTTCTCATTCACCAGCTTCTTGTTCAAATTTTCCTGTTCCTCTATTTAAGGTGGAACAGGAAAATTCAAACAAGATGATGCTGAATGAGAAGCAACTCCAGCCTCCAGCCCAAGTCAAACGTTGAGAGATATTCTACAAAAAACTGTTCTACTTTTGTGGAAAAGTTTCCTGCTGGAGATGCGAGAAAAGCAGCTATAGCTGAGCTAAAGCTTAAAGCAAAGTAAAGTAAGTCGTTCATTTATATTTTTTAGTCTATACTAGAACGTCAGCACATACTGAGACACATTTACAGCCAAGATGGTAAAATGTTACGTCAATAAAATGGACATTAAATGTTGTGGCTCCCAAGTTGGTTTGATTTTTGTTGGAAGGACAAACTGGCTCTTCTTAACATTTGGGGTGCTGAGCGCTGGTATAAGCTTTTGGTCCTGGTTCTGTACTGGAACCAGTACAGGTTATGTACTTTTTCTATTAACCTTTGTTTATATTGTGTCTCTTTGTCAAATACTTTCAAAATATCATTAAACCTTGAATGTGTCAGAGCACATCTGCACGTTTTATATGTTAATCAGAATTAAACATTCTTATTTAAGAAGTAGGATTGGCCCCACTTGATGGGGGCTCCCAAGTGGCACAATCGTCTAAGCGTTGGCCCTGTCATCAGGAGATTGCGAGTTCGATCCTGTAGCCGGGAGTCCATCTCTATCTCTGGGTGGGTAGGATGGCCAGTTGACGCAACAGATCTGGCGGTTGGCGCTCTGCTCCGAGCGCGTCCAGCTGTGCAATGACGTTGCGTGAGCGGCAGTTTGAAAAGATGTGGTGGCTGGTTTCTCAGGTGTCAGAGGAAGCCTGTGTTAGCGTTCATCCTCCTAGCGTTGGTAGTATCGTGTGATTGAGGAAGTCCTAACTAGAGTTAAAAAGGCATATAAAATGGATTCATGTCTTTGAAGGAATTTCAAATAAAAAAAAACAAACAAAAAAAAAACAACAACATGCTTAACCCCTAAAGCATAGCCTTTGGAGCCTGTAATCAGGGGAGGAGCCTTACACACATAGCCAGCCTTAGCTTTAGTCATTATGATCCATATTAATACATGATTGAAGGTCTGTAATGTGAAAATCACTAATAATTGCACAATTAGTTGTAATAATACACAATAAACACTTTAAGAGCCTGTTATGCAAATTATTGAGCATGATTTACCACCTAGGGGCTTCACCCACAATCAGCTTCTGTCTCTGGTGTTCTTAACTAACTCGAGCTGCAGCACTGCTCTGCCTCAGGGTGGCGCTGTAGCAGACTGGTTCATCCAGTTGGTCCTTCATAGTCTAGAAACTGTAACTCTGCCCGGATTCCTCTGAAAAACTTTACAATGAGCTGCAGCAGATCTGTAAATCTGAAAACTCGCCCAGTTTCCCAAGAGTTTGGAGTGAAGAGTGACTGTTCCTCATTTCTCACAAGATTTTTGTGATCTGCGAGTACTGTGAGGGAGGGGTGGGATCCAACCAGTGTCGCCGGACCTCAAGAGCCTTTTTGCTGGGCAGAAACTCCTTAGTCCCTGCGTCATAATTTCTCTCTGCATCAGTCAGTTTGTGTGAGAAAAAGGCACGAATGTAATTTTGAGGGTCTCCTAGTCTTTGGGAAAGTACAGCTCAGATTCCTGACTCAAAGACATCGACCTCAACTATGAAAGGAAGAGATGGGTCAATATGTTTAAGGATAGGAGCCGTGATAAATCTGGATTTAGGGACAGTACATGCTACATCTGCTGTCTCATTCCACTGAAGCCTTTTTCTGTCCTCTGAAAAATGATGTCAGAGTTGTGGCCACAGAGATGAAACCGCGGATGAACGGCCTGTAGAAATTGGCAAAGCCCAAAAAACTTTGTGATTCCTTAACATTCTTTGACTGAGGCTAATCTACCACTTCCTTTACCTTTCTTTTTGTTCAGGCACATCCCAACCTTGTCTGAAATATAGCTGTAATGAAGGCTCTCTAGACATTTATGAACCCATTTTCCCATTTACTCAACTCACACAAGTATTAAAGTCTACAAAACCAGAGGCAGAATCAGAAAACAGCTCACAAAAGTACCAAAGAGAGTCCAGAAGGCAAAGTCCAAAAGTACAGATTAATGTCCAAGTAAACCATAAATCCAGGAAACACAGAGATACAAGGCTTACTATGCAGACAAACTGGCAATCCTTTGCATGTGAAGCTGTGGGTCCTTAGAAAGGGAGATAGATGAGCTGCAGGTGAACGAAATCTAGGTAAGACTGACCTCTGGTGTCAAGGGCGGATATTACACCTGACGGTAGCCCAGAAAGGACACCTGGGACTTTTCACATTTTCTAAGAGTCTTTGGAGTGCCAGGTGAACATGTTTGACATGTTCTTCCAGTGACAAGGAGTATACCAAAATATTATCTATATAAACCAAGACCCACTGTTCTATCATATCACATAGTACCTTGTTAATGAAGGGTTGAAACACAGAGGGGGCGATAGAGCACACAAGGCATAACTTGGTACTCACAGTGCCCTCTGCTGGTGACAAAGGCAGTCTTCCATTCATTCTTCTTGCATATTCTAACCAAACTGTAGGCGATTCTGAGATATAGTTTGGTGAATGCTCAAATTTTTTCAAAGCAACTGGCACAAGTGGAAGGGGATAACAGTACTTCATGATCACTTCATTTAGACCCCTGTAGTCCATGCATGGGCGTACACCCCCCTCATCTTTATTATCACTGAAAAAGAAACTTGCCGCTCCGGGAGAAGTGGAGGGTTGAGTTTAGCCAGGGTTTGAAACAATAGTGATGTCTGAATACTGAATACACTGTCCTAAACTGTTACTAAATGCATTCAGTAACAATGTATTGTATTTGTTGGATTTCTTTGTTTTGGATGTTCCCCTTCAGAGAATTTAGTTATTTTCTAAATAAAGATTAATATAATAAAGATTAGTAGTTAATATGTGTTATGCAGTTTGCCCTAATTTACCCACTACACCATAGCTGCCCCAGTGCTTTAGCACACTTGATGGGCAGGTGATACAAATGCTTTATTGCTTTTATACAGCAGTTCTATATGTGTATAATCAAAATCTGCCTTCACACTCACTCAGCTAGGTGACTTAAGATTCCAATTTTGTTCTGGCTTTGCATTGATTAGATGCATTTTAGTTTTAATGCACTTTCTTTACATTTTCTGTTCCAGGCACCATGTCTTTCAGAGAGAATAAAATTGACATGCCCAGCCCAGTTTGTCTCATTCATAACACGGAGGATGGAGGCCTTCGCATTTGTCAAGAGGCACTAGATATTCTAGACCAGATCACTCAGTCGGTGGTGGTGGTGGCCGTGGCAGGACCGTACCGCACTGGGAAGTCCTACCTCATGAACCGACTGGCAGGGAAACGAAAGGGTAAGCGAAGAGTTGGTTGTTAACAGATAATACAAGATAATTTTTGCTATTATTGTAATTATTGCTGCTGTTGTTGTTGTTACTTATCATTTATGTTATCTCAGTTATATATATAATACTTATGTTAAAAATCATGATGTCTAAATTTGACCAAATCAACAATCTTTTTTTTTTTATTCTCCAAAACTGACCAAAAAACACTCTTTAGACTAAATTTAAATGAACAAAATTGCTTCCACAATGTGTTGAGATGAAAGCACAGTTTAGGGTGGTAGACTTCATTTCATATTTATCCATGTTTATCTGTTGTAATTTTCAGGCTTTGCCCTGGGCAGCACCATTGAGTCTAAGACCAAGGGCATCTGGATGTGGTGTGTGCCCCACCCCGAAAAAGAAGACCACATACTGGTGCTGCTGGATACTGAGGGACTGGGAGATGTGGACAAGGTGTGGACAGAAACACTCCATACATACAAAAAATACAAAATTAAAATGACACCATGTTCTAAATACACGTCATTTGATTTTAATGCTGTGGTTGAAACCAATATTTATTTTAAGATTTTTAGTGTAATCTCTTAGAAGCTAAGACATCATGTGGCCAGTGCCAGAGTGGGTCATTGGGAGAGTCGGGAGAGTTGGATGAAACCCCCCACTTCAAATGGCCTTGGTTTGCTGATTGTAACTGAGTCTTGTTAAGTGGATATAGTTTAGATGAAGCTGAAGTTATCTTATTATTTTCATTTCCTTTTCCACCTTAAATGAAGTAGTAGTTACATTTAGATGCCTGTATGTGTAACTGCTGCACTATATAAGGTGGCATGTACATCTGAATAAGAAGCTAAAACCAGCCTTGAGACATTAATGTATCAAATATCGATTGAATCTGATACAGCTGGCAGCTCCGTGAAAACTATGAAAGAAAAAGACAAAAGATACTCAACCCTAGCAATTTGCAGGCAAAACCATAGGTAATTTCTAGTCTTCATAACTTCAGAAAGGTTTAGGCTACAGACATCAGGACATTCAGCAGACCCATAACTCACTGTGACATCAGCATCAGTGAGTAATTTGGTTCAGAAAATCTCTGCTTTCTGCCCTTCATATTCCAACAAAGGGTTAAAACAGCGACATGATTCACAATCAGATCACTCATCAGACTCTGCCTCACCATTCAGAGTGATTTCATCCACCTGTGACCATCCATCAGCCAGAGATCTGGATCCAAAATCACCCAAACCCACTCACTACTGTTATATCACATCTCTGCTTTTAACCTTTATATTATAAACAAAGAGTTAAAACAGTGACATGATTTACACACCAGGAGCCTGCCATCACTAGGCAGAGTGAGAGGAACCAGCTCCAACATCCCACAACCCAGAAATACAGCACAAACACACAGCCAGATCACTGTAAAACCTGCTGTTAACTCTCTGCTTTAGCCTTCACATGGCAACAAAACAGTTAAAAACAGCAACGCAATTCACACATCACATTGATCAGGCCTTCCCTGTGTGTCCAGAGTGACTTTCTAAAATTTTAGCTGCGATTCAGTCAGTTATCCAGCTCAGAAAACCACTGTTCAGATCCTGCGTTTACGACCATTTAAATGCCCATTTAAATCCTCACAGCAGCGTGTTCGGTATAAAACTTGCCCTTGTGTCTCAAACAGTCCTCAGACTGACTCAGACTCTGAGGTTATATAGTGTTGACAATCAGAAATTTACAGCTAAATATGCTTAAAAAACGACTCAAATGCAGTCACACTTCTAAAACTGAGGCTGAAAATAAGTCCCACTCATGGCCACTAAAGGCACTGCAATAAAATATCCAAATAAAGTTTAAACTCAAGGGAAGTTTTTTAATCATAATGAGGACTAAACTGTTTTTCAGGGTGATGAGAAACACGACGTTTGGATCTTCTGTCTGGCTGTTCTGCTCAGCACCACTCTGGTCTACAACAGCTTAGGAACAATAGATAACACAGCACTGGAGAAGCTGCAGTATCCTTAAATGCTAAGGCTGGGATGATGAGCTTTTTTTTAAATGACAAGTTATTTATATTATTTTTCATTATTTTATCTAAGACAGTTTAGACCTTTGCACCAGAGGGGATGACAAAGCCTTCTGACACCAAGTTTTCATGTTTTACCAACAAAAAAACAAGGGTTATATTGTAGTTTGCTCTGAACTTTAAACTCCATCACACATTCTTTATTTTTTATTTATTTCCACAATTTAAGATACAACCCCATTTCCCAAAAAGCTGGGACGCTGTGCAAAATGTAAATTAAAAACAAAATGCAATGATATGCAAATCATTTAAACCCTATATTTAATTGAAAATAGTACAAAGACAACATATTAGATATTGAAACTGAGAATTTTTTTTGTTTTTTGAAAAATATTTGCCCGTATAGAATTTGATACCAGCAACTTGTTCCAAAAAAGTTGGGACGGGGGCAACAAAAGGCTGGTAAAGTTGTGTAATGCTTAAAAAACACCTGGTGGTTAATTGGCAACAGGTCAGTAACATGATTGGGTATAAAAGAGCATCTCAGAGAGGCGGAGTCTTTCAGAAGTAGAGATGAGGAGGGGTTCACCACTCTGTGAAAGACTGCACCATCAAATAGTGCAACAATTCAAGAATAACGTTTCTCAACATAAAATAGCAAAGAACTTTTGCGTTTCATCATCTACGGTACATAATATCATTAAAAGTATTTGCTGGCTGTGATCTTTGGGCCCTCAGCATGGGCTCAGAAACACTTCTGAAAACCACTGTCTGTGAAAACAGTTCATCACTGCATCCACAAATGCAAGTTAAAACTCTAAAACACAAAGAAGAAACCATATATAAACAGGATCCAGAAACACTGCCACCTTCTCTGGGCCTGAGCTCATTTAAAATGGACTGAGTTGAAGCGGAAAAGTGTCCTGTGGTCTGACGAATCAACATTTGAAATTCTTTTTGGAAATCATGGACGCTGTGTCCTCCGGGCTAAAGACCACTCAGCTTGTTATCAGTGCACAGTTCAAAAGCCAGTATTCATGATGGTGTAGGGGGCATTAGTGCACATGGCATGGGTGACGTGCTCATCTGTGAAGGCACCATTAATGCTGAATGATATATACATGTTTTGGCAACATTTTTTGCTGCCATCCAGACGACGTCTTTTTCAGGGAAGGCCTTGACTATTTCAGCAAGACAATGTAAAACCATGTCTGCATGTATTACAACAGCATTGCTCTGTATTAAAAGAGTCTGGGTGCTAAACTGACCTGCCTGCAGTCCAGATCTGTCACCACTGAAAACATTTGGCGCATTACGAAATGGAAAATACGACAAAGGAGACCCCGAACTGATGAGCAGCTGAAATCCTGTATCAAACAAGAACAGGAAAACATTTCACTTTCTAAACTACAGCAGTGTCTCCTCAGTTCCCAAACGCTTACAGAGTGTTGTTAAAGAAGAGGTGATGAAAAACAGTGGTAAACAGGCCCCCGTCCCAACTTTTTTGGAACGTGTTGTCAGCATAAAATTTGAAATGGGCATATATTTTTTAAAAAAAACAATAAAAAACATTTGATATGTTGTCTTTGTATTTTTTTTTAAAATATGGTTCACATGATTTGCATATCATTGCATTCTATTTTTATTTACATTCTGCACAGCGTCCCAACATTTTTGGAAATGGAGTTGTACATAACAAATAGGTCCACATCACAGATTACCGTGTAGCTCACTAATGTGTGCAAATGAAGTGAAATCTGGGGATCTGGATATCAGAAAAAATGTATTAATTCTACCTGTGTGTTTCATGGACAAGTATTAACAACAGTCATGAAATCGATAGGTTGTCTTTATAGATACATAAATTAATATCATAACCCCCCTAGCATAAATAACCCCCTAACACACCTACAAACAACTTTTGCTTTTTGCACAGTTGCTCTGTTATTTTCCTGAAAAGTACTGTGTGCAGATATGTCACAAAACTGACGGAGCACATAGATGTGAAATCTAGGACAGGAGATGGTAAAGAAGCGTGCAGCAAAGCCATGGAGCTCATGCGTGTTTTCCCATCCTTTGTGTGGACTGTGCGAGACTTCACCCTGGACCTGGTGCTGGATGGAAAAGAGATCACAGCTGATGAATACCTGGAGAATGCGCTGATGCTGAAGCAGGGTGAGGAAGCACACAGACTCATTCAGTCAAATACAGTACATTAGAGTACATTAGGTGGATATTTACAAAGTCAACTTGAAAGCAAACAACTCTAGCGTGCTCAGTGCTGTTACTGGGTCTAATGCTTATTTAGGAGTTATTAAAGCTTTTCAAATGTGTGGGTAAATTGTCTTGGGTGCAAGGTTGTTTGTTTTTCACCATGTTTGGGGTCATTGTTTTGGATTTTGTGGCAAAATCCATATTATCATGCATTCTCATTGATACAGGTACAGAGTCTTGGTTCCTCTCAAGGTTTCTTCCTCTTGCTCTTAGGGAGTTTTTCCTGCCACTGTTGCCACTGGCGACGCTCATGGGGGCTTGGACCCCAATTTTTCTGTAAAGCTGCTTTGTGACAACACCTGTTGTAAAAAGCCCTATATAAATAAACTTTGACTTGACTTGAGGTACAGTGGCAAAAAAGAGAATGTAAACCCTCTGGAATTACCTAGTTTTCTTTGTTAATTGATCATAAAATGTGAACTGTTTTTCATGTAAGTCACAATTATAGACAAATGCAATGTGCTTAAGCTAATAATACAAAAATAATTATAATCTTTCATGTCTTTAATATGCACACCAATTGAATATCCACAGTGCTGGTGGAAAAAGTAAGTGAACTCTCTGGTCGAACCTCCTTTGGTAGCAATAACCTCAAGCAAGCACCTTCGGTAGCTAAAGATCAGACCTGTACAATATTGGACCATTATTCCTTACAGAACTGCTTCGGCTCAGCCATAGTCTTCAGATGTGTGGTGTGAACGGCTCTTTTGAGGTCATTCCACAGCATCTTGGCTGGGTTCCCACTAGTAAATCATCTTTATATATAGGCAGTTTGTCTAACTGTAGACTGATGAATCAGTCTTTGAGATTTCTTTGTAACCCTTTCCAGCTTTATGCAAATCAATGATTATTGATCATGGGTTCTCTGAGACCTCTTATTTGCGAGTCATGGTTCTCATCAGCAGATGCTTCTTGTGAATAGCAAGTTCAAATGTTTGAGTGTTTTGCATCAGAGAAGGTCTAACCCACACATCCAGTCTCATTTCATTAATTAGACTTCAGGTTTGCTACCTCTTGACTACAAATAGCTTAGTTATTAGCCTAGAGCCAAATCCAGCATCTGAAGTCTTTTCTGAGGACCTGAAATAAAATAATTATTAAGAAGTGTAAATGTTTGAGACAAAATTCACTGTCCCTGAGTTATAGGGATCGCTTGGGGCACGACACCTCACAAGTCCTGAGCAATGGGACTCGGCACAATGATGATTCCTGGGATGAAGATGATAGAAAGTTCTCTCAGTAAATAATGGGGCCAGCACTTGTGTTGCTGGGGACAGCAACAGTGGCTAGAAATGACAGAAGTGTTTATATACCACCCTTTGTTCACATAGACACGCAGTCTATCTCCTCTGCTTTTCCCAGATGATAGATTTCTGTCCAGCAGGTTAGTCCATCCAGCTGAACTGCTGCATCGAGGATGTTGCTGTGAAGCCACACTTCAGACAGAATTAAAACACAGTACTCCTTCATCTCATGTTCACTGCAGTCATTCTTAATTTGAGCAAGTCTACTTTGTTGTCAAGTGAGCAAACGGCTAATAATAGCGAGGATATGGCCTGGAGGGTTTAGCTATTAGCCTAGCTAAGACTCCATCACACCTACTGCATTTATGCTTCTGTTCACAATGTCTCCTGTGTCTTCTGTGCCTTTAATGTTTTTTACATGAGGAAAAACAAAAGGAACATCAAAGGAAAAAGTAAAGACAAAACAAAAACATGAAAATAATGTGACAATAGCTTTAAAAAAATAAAATAACAATAATAATAATAATAATTATTATTATTATTATTATTATTATATACTATTTAAAGTTATATATTTATATAATTAGTATGATTTATTATTATTATTATTATTATTATTACAATTATTATTTATTATTATAATTGTTATAATTATTATTATTGCTGTTATTATTATAATAATAAAGACATACAAAGCACATAAAAGCAAAATAAAAACATGAAAAGGAACTCAGAATCAAAGGCATTGTGTTATTAAAATTAGCTTATTAAAGGCAAAGTGCTCTTAGAATAATTGCTTATAATTTCATAGAAGTTTTGAGGAAACACTTACTCTTTAGACGTGTAAATAACACCTAATCTATACAATATTTTGAATACTTGGAGAGTTAAAGCTCAGTACAATTCTAAGAAGGCTGCGCAGATACCACAAATGTAAGTGTGCAGAGGATTAAGGATTACACATGATGGTTTTGGGTTACAGTTTAGGCAAAATCAGCTGTAATGACATGGCTACGCTAGGAAACACAAACAGGTCTATTTTTGTAAGCAAACAAAGAACATTCAGATGAATCTGTTTGCTAGACAAAGTCCGAAATTCAAAAACAAAGGTCATCTTTACTGGTAGTTGATTCATACAGTAGCAGCTAGCCATACGTCAGAGTACTCATTTGAGTACACACTGCAAAAAATGGTCTCAAGTGAAATGATCTTAAATCTAGTCGATGTAGCTAATATTTCCCATTTTGAGGCGGTTGTGCACTTAATATCAGGTTATCTAGCTTATTTCTAGAATTTACTTGTTTTGGTCATTTTATTCAGTAAAATTATCTCACTGTGCTGCCAGATAATTTTGCTGGTTTCAAGCTCATTTCTTACAAAAGCACAATTATCTGGCAACACAATGAGATAATTTTACTTAATAAAATGACTTAGAACAAGTAAAAAATGTCTAGAAATAAGCTAAATAATCTTAAATTAGGCTTACAACAATCTCAACAGGAAAATATTAGATTTATCAACTTGACAAGAGACCATTTTTTTCCAGTGCAGGTGGATTTTTTTCTGACTGACCTATTGCCTCCTTGCTGACAGGTACATTTTCATTAACCAGCAAGCACTACTAGTACTATCTGCATGTCTCTGATCTGATCTGAGCTGTTTATTATGCAAAGGTCATTTAGACCAGTTGCATAATCATAGTGGGGCAGAGAGGCAGGGGAGGGAGTTTGTGTGCCAGACTCTAGTTTAGGTGATCTTCGCATTGCTTGATTCTCCAGGCCAACTGACAGGCCAGGCCACCAGGTAATCTCTCTGTGCTCCTGACGGGATGTCTGGGCCTGTTAGCGCACCCTTTCTTTTTCACCATTCCTGTCATCATCAAACCAAAGTTTGGGAGGCAAACTACAGGATTCATGATGTTCCACAATGATGGTTTTTGTATGTGACAGAATTATTTGGCGAAGTTGACTGAAATGATGTCACTGGTTTTCTGTTTACCGTTCTTTTTCTCTACTTTTTGTATTTCTCAATTTAAAGGTGATGCTGCGACACCAAATGTTGTAAATTACAACAAGACAAGGAGAAGCCTGCGGGACTTTTTTGCTGTCCGCAAATGCTTTGTGTTTGAGCGGCCAGGCAACACTAAGAAGATGAAGCAGATAGAAGAGCTGACGGATGATGACTTGGATGAGTCTTTTGTGGAGCAGTCAAAGGCCTTCTGCAAATACATCTATACCAACTCAAGATCCAAAACCATGAGAGGAGGCCGGGGAGTGACTGGCAGAAGTAAGTAGTGTGACATTAAATACACCTTCAATTCAAATAATTACATTATTTTTGTATAACTGATTTTGTAGAACATCTACAGTTGTCTCAAAACAGCTTTAAAGCAATCTGGGTCCAGATCCTGATCAAATACTGTAGCACTGCTCCATATTACACAAACTGACACAAATGGGGAGCTATGTATGAAAATGGTTGTTATTCCTACACTGTTCACCCGATTTGGATGTAAATACTCTCAAATAAGACCCACACAGAGACACTCTCACCTTTGCATACTTTTGTTTAGCACTTTCTTTTTTTTTGACAGAACCATAAAATGTAATATATTCCTAGATTCAGCAGATATGGAAGACCCCATACCCATCACTGCCATTCACCGGCCTAGATAGGCCAGCACACCCATTGAAGGACCCACCGTGGCTTCCAATCAGATCATGGGTATATCAGTCAGAACAGTCAGTATATCTGTCAGTTCTGACCTATTCTGGGTCCTGGCTGACTACCATGATCTATTGGAGGTCTTTAGTAAACTCAAAACCCAAGTTCTGCTTCCTCACAGGTCTTATGACTGTGCCATAAACCTCTTCCCTGGAACTACCCTTCCCAAGAGAGGCTGTTTTCTCTTTCTGGCCATGTTTGATCAGCCATAGTGGACTATTTCAAGGAGACATTAACCCTGGGCTTCATGCGGCCATCCACCTCACCTGCAGGGGCCAGGTTTTTCTTTGTGGGTAAAAAAGGACGGTGGTCTTAGACCCTGCATTGTTTACCTCAATAAAATTACCCTCAAAAACCACTACCCCTTGCCATTAATGACCTTAGCATTCAGGCGCCCAGGCACTGCAGCAGGCCTCAGTTTTTACTAAGCTGGATCTGCGCAGTGCCTATAACCTCAATAGGGTGTGGAAATGGTGCCATTCAGTAGACCGCATTTATAACACCATCTGGGCATTACAAGTACCTCATGACTGCCTCCCTGGTCTTCCAGTACTTTATTAGTGAGGTCCTGCATGAGGCTCTGAAACACTATATGTTTGTCAATTTCGATGACATTCTTATTTACAGCCATTCAGTCGACGAACACATGGTTCATGTTCGCCAGGTTCTCCAGGTTCTGCTTGACAATCACCTCTATGTGAGGCTGAAGAAATCACTTTTTCATGCTCAGTCGGTCATCTTTTTTTGGGTTTGTGGTATCTAAAGGTTTTCTGGGCTTTGCTAGTTTTCGCTAGCTGTGAAGCTGGCACTGGACAAGCATAGGCACTGGCTGAAGGGTGCAGAGCATTTCTTCCTGGACTGGACGGATCACAAAAAACTTGGCCTACATTCAACAAGCCTCATTGAACAAGGTTCATTGCCTCGTTGTGCTGGGGGTTGGAGACTGACATCCAGGGGGCAGTTTGGACCGATCCAGATCCGGGGTGGGGGGGGTGGCAGATTGGCAGTCGTTCCATCCTCCGTCTAAAATTTCTTCAGTGGGGTACACACCCTCTTTTACTTGCCATCTGGGGGCAACTCACACACTCGAGTTCCTACAGAGACACTTCTGGTGGCCTAGGATGGAGGGGGATGTATGTGTCTATGTAGTGGCCTTCCAGGTTTGCACACAGAACAAGGAGCCTAGAACACAAACGGCAGGCTTGCACCATCCTTGTCCCAAACTATTTTGACTCTGATCCCACATCTGCTTGGATTTCATCATTGTTTTGCTCGTGTCATAGGGCAACACGGTAATTTGGATGTGGTCGACTGGTTTTCCAGGCCTGCAAATTTCTTGCAGTATCTGGATTACTGTCAGTCAAGGAGGCAGCTTTGCTTCTGTTACAGCATGTGGTAAGGGTCCATAGATTCCCTGATTCACTGAAGCCCTCAGCATTTGGCAAAAATCCTACCAGAACCGACTGATGAACAGAGATTCACATTCAATTACCACATCAGTCGGTTCTGGTAGGATTTTTGCCAAATGCTGAGGGCTTCAGTGAGCCTTTCCTCAGGTTTCCACCCTCAGTCTAATGGGCAGACTGAGAGGGCTAATCAGGACCTAGGTGTCTAGCCTCCTCTAGACCATCTACATGGTCTGAGCACCTGTTTTGGGTGGAGTACGCCCAGAACACCCTATGGCATTCCTTGCTGGTGATGTCTCCCAGCTTGTGTATCCTCCACCCATGTTCCCCAAGTGGGAGGTGGAGGTTGAAGTCCCCGAAGCCCGTCTGCTGGTGCAGCGATGCTGACGAGTGTGGCAAAAGGCCCATGCTGCACTGCAGAAAGTCTCAGCCTCGCAAAAACAAGCTGCCGACAGCAAGCAATGCCTGGGACCCTTGTTTTGGCTGGGGCAGCAAGTCTGGCTTGCCACGAAAGACTTTCCCTTCAGGGTTGAGTCCCATAAGCATACTCTGCAGTACATGGGACCCTTCAAGGTGTAATACGGCAGGTAATCCCGGTGGCCTACCAGCTTCTCCTCCCCTGCTTGATGCACATAAATCTGATGTTCCATGTCTCAGGGCTCAAACTGATCCTCTGCAGCCCCTTGCTCCTACCCCAGCCTCTCCTACCTCAATGTCTGATTGCGTCCCTAGCTTTGACAATCTGGTGGCTGTTGGACTCCCATCAGGTCTGAGGGGGTACCCAGTACTTGGTGGACTGGGAGGGATATGAGTCAGAGGAGTGCTTCTGGGCCCCAGATCGGCACATTCTGGACCCTGAGCTCATCTGGGTATTCATGAGGGACAACACTGCAGGTTTGGAAATATTGGGAGCCATTTCTAAAGGAGGAGTGCTGTAATATCTTGGGCTCCTGCTTGGCTGCCACCAGCCACCAGAGGGAGATGAAGAGTAGAAGCTAGCTGATTAGGGCTGATCATGATCAGCTGTGCTCAGTCAGTTTAAGGAGAGCTCACACATGGCTCCCTGCTCAGTCCTGAGTTCACGCTGCCGTGTGCACATCTCCTTGCCAACTAATAATCTCGAGTCTAAACCATCAGCATAAGTATTAAAAAAAAAGAGAAGGCCTCTCCTGCCCTTTCTATTGGTTACCTTCCCTGCAGTTTTCTAAAATCCTCTTTTGTTAGAAGACGCTGCTCTGGTGTTTCCTTTGTTTTGCCTTCTCCTTCCCCCCTTTTTTTATTATCAACCCTTGATGTTGCGGTGGCACGATGGTAACATGCTTGCCACCACATTTCAAGATAGTTCAGGCCTCACTGGATGTGTCCTTATTTCTTTCTTTTTCTTGTGCTCTCATGCCTCCACTCCTCTGCATGTGAGTCAGCCTTTGTGCTTCGTGGGTGGGTTGTCCCCTAAATTGGAGGTTTTCCAACATGAGGATCACTGATTCAATCCTCACGTGGGGACTAGTTATAATTTATAAATACAAGTTTATATTTGTATAAACAAAGTGTAAAAAAAAAAAAACATTAAATTTCACATGATAGGGCTAGGTTCTAGTTTTGCTACATGATAGCATAGATAATCTGTAGTAAATTTCTGGAACATACTAGAGCATCAATTTAGTTTATAAAACAAATTTAACTTGCCAAACCTCTTGACACTCCAGTCTCTAAAAGGTGAGTTTTACAAGTGATACGGATATGGATGTGAATCTAGTCTATTATAGATACACCATAAATTTAGGACAATAGTTCTATCACTCTCAGATTTGTTCTCCACTTTCTTTTTTTGAGACTTACTGGCCTGAACAGTAATTAGACTGTGGATGGTGGGTATGAAGTTCTTTGGTTGCATGCACATTACACACAGAAAAAAAACAGATATCACCTCACACAAATAACCAGTCATTTGAGACAAAAATACAATTTCTCCTGGATATCACCTTGCAGATAAAACCACAACAGAGACTTGTAACAAAGCAGATTCCGAAAGTTGTGAGGCATCCATGTGCAGGTTTATTAACCACATGGCAATCCAGGAGAGACCTCCGGTGGCCAGATTTTTTTTCACAGCTCTGTGCTCAGTTCTAGGTTCTCTTTTCAGAGTACTACACAAGCCTAAGCCAATAATTTGGTAAAGCCCCTCGGGTTTACTCCTGGGTCTCCCTTCTCTTCTTTCCCAATTTGTGCCAAATCACACCCCTCAAGTGTTCCTCCCAGGGTTTCTCTTGCAGCCCGTTCCTGGTTGTTTCTTGGGGCTCTGCTTTGTGTCCTTTACAAAGGAAAGAAATATTAAAGAAACATAAAACTGTGAAAAGAAAGCTTTATGTTTCTTTTCGGCTCTCTAGGGTCATCTTCATTGACACTCTGTTGTTTAAAAAAAATTGCATTTTGCTTTTCACACCTGTTTTCAGGCATACTATCCACTTACTCTCTATCCTTCCCTTTAGCTCATCCAAAAGTATGGCGGTGTCCTAAACCTCAGTTCTGCAGTTCGAGTCCACTTCAGGGTTACATTCAGTTTCTGGTATATGAGAGTGTTTTGAGTTCCCTTAATATCTGGCCCCATTAGCTCAGGCTGGCCTTTATTAATTCTTCAGGAAATATTATTTATTTCCCTAGGATTGATCCTTGCAGCAGGCTAGTCTTTTGTAATATCAAGTTTGGCTTTAGTTTTGTTTGTACCGATTATTTCCAATGATGTAGGTGAGTCCACTTAGAAATATTTTCAGGTTGTGATTGCAGAAATACAAAAGGTAACTAGATTACTTGATTTTTCAATAAACAACTTATTTACTCTAACTTGCGTAATTTCCTTTACAAATTTATTTTTGCTTGTACTCAAGTAAATTATCACTACAGTAATAGTACTTTTACTTAAGTAGTTAAGTCAAGTCAGATTTATTTAAATAGCGCTTTTTATAACAGGCATTTTCACAAAGCAGCTTTACGGAAAAAAAATCTGGGTCTGAGCCCCCATGAGTGTCACTAAGGACAACAGCGGCAAGGAAAAACTCCCTAAGAGTAAGAAGAAGAGACCATGAGAGGAACCAAGAACCAAAAGCGGAACCCATCCTTCTCTGGACCACACTTAATTAACCCCTTAAAATCTCAGGCTTATTGCATACTAAGGCTTATTATTCAATAACTATAGGGACTTCAGTGCAAACAGTAAAAATAGATCTATGAAAATCAGTCACTGTTACCAGGGAAAACCAGTGACTGTACTGTTAGAAGGTGACCTGTTACTGTGAAAATGAAAAAGTCTCAGTATTGTGAGGCAGGGAAAGTAAATCTGTGATTACACAGTTTGAGTTGATGTGCATGCAGCAGTATCATCAGGAGGGTCAGTTCATGCAGGTGATGATTTCTGCACAATGTTGGACAGCAGGGAGGTCCATAATGGTCAAACTTGTCCAGAAGGCTGGGGAGCAGTGGGCACCCAATCAAGGCAGATGTAGAGAGTCAGACTGCATAGGATGGGCAGTTATTCAGCTCAGGAAAGCCACACAGACAGTTCTGTTAATACAGACTGATTACAGTTAACAGTGCTAACAGAGAGCAGCAGAGACTCCGGCAGGTAAAGCTATTACAGCCTCAGTAAAAGGGAGAGAGAAGGTAACAGAGTCATGAGGCTCCCTGAGATGTCGGAGCCCCTCCGCTCCACCGTCAACAAACCTGAGTGAACGCGTGAGGCAGCGGGACGACAGCACCAACACTCCCAGTTTACCATAATACTCTATGACCATAAACCCCAGATCTGCACCTTTTATCTAACAGGAAACACTAATTACCAAAGGCTCCACTAAACAAGTGGGTTTTAGCCTAGACTTAAAGACTGAGGCTGTGTCTGAGTCCCGAACACCGACTGGAAGATTATTCCAAAGCTGGAGGGCTTTGTGTGAAAGGATTTTCAGTACTCTTTCCACCCCTGCTGTGCCACCTTGAGAGTGACTAGTTGTCTGTGCTTAGCTATCAGTATATCCAGTAGTATTTCATGCCCTCCAGCACTAAACTGCGCTTAGTCATGAGCTTGGTAGAGAACAATGTGCTGAACATATGTATTGAACTTAAATGAAGTGAAACAAATATCTTTATGGGTATATATTTGAACTATGCCTTAATGTAATTTGAGACTGATATATAAGACAGATCTAGAATTTTGAGACCTGGAACATACGTGTATAAAAATGGTTGTGTCTGTAAGAAAGTTTCTATTTAAAATAAAGTATTAGGGACAAAATGAAATGAAAATGGAAAAAATTAAATATCATTTAATTTTTTAAAAAACATTTCAGTGTTGGCCACTCTGGCACAGACGTATGTCGAGGCAATCAGCAGTGGTCAGGTCCCGTCTCTGGACAACGCTGTGGAATCTTTGGCTCAGATTCATAACAGTCGTGCCATCACAGAAGCTGTGGAGTTCTACCACTGTGAGATGACCAAAAAGGTCCAGTTCCCCACGGAGACTCAGCAGGAGCTTTCTGACATCCATGCAGGTGTAGAGAAAGAGGCTATCAGTATCTTCATCAAAGGCTCCTTCAACGATCAGAACCAGGAATACCAGAACGAGCTTGTGGTAAAGTAGCTTTAGCATAAAATCATTTTGTTTGATACAACTGAAAGCTGAAGAGATTAATGTTGTAGGAGAGGAGAGTAATGCCTATTAAAATTAATGCAAGCATCACTTTCATTTCTTAATCTCCAGAAACGCCTTAGCAAGGAATATGAGGAACTTGTTAAACAGAATATGGAAGAATCTCGTAAGGCGTGCAGGTCCATCATCTCTCGAGTGTTTGGTTCTTTGGAGGAGGCAGTGAAGGAAGATACTTACATGCAGCCTGGAGGCTACACAGAGTACTGCAGTGACCTGGACAAAGCAATCAAGCAGTACAGGTCAGAGAAAGGCCACGGACCTATGGTGAGTTGTCATTTTACCACTAACGTATTCTATTTATAACATTAACAACAGAAACACTCAAAGTTTGAATGCCTCATTTCCAGAAGTGGACAGTCCAGATCTAGAACATTAAAAACCTCTTCAGAATTTTGTTCCAACTGTCTGATTTCTCTGGTTACCTCAAACCAGAAGCTTAAGGCAGCTGGAACAAAATCCAGGGTAGGATTTTTACTTCCTGGGCATGAATTACCCAACTAAGCTTATCTTGATTCAAACCCTAGCAAAACCTCTGAACTGTCTCATTTTTACACTCGTATTCTTTGAATGTCTCTTCTTAGCTTGAAGAAGTCTTGACAAATTATCTGACTGAGAAGAATAAGGTTGGACAGAACATTCTTGCAGCTGACCGCTCCCTCAGTGAAGCTGAGCGGAAGATGGAGGGTAAATTACAGTGATAATAACAGAGAAATTTAAGAGGCTAATTTCTTGTGTTGTATTGTTGAAACCTCCCCATGTCTGTTCGTGTTTAGAGAAAAGACGTGAGAAAGAGGCTTTGGAGCAGAAGAACAGACAACTAGAGGAACAGAAAAAAATGCAGGAAGAGCTGTTTCGTGAGCAGAAGAAATCCCATGATGAACACATAAAGCAGCTAAAGGAGAAAATAGATGAAGAAAAGACATGTTCCAGGGAAGAGATCATGCGACTACAACACGCATTGGATCAGGTAATGTATTACTGTTAAATGCAATGCTAGGAAAAAGACCCTGGAAGGAAGCAGTGCTTAGAGACTGTTGTCATGCAGTGACTGGTTAGTGACTGAGTATTGTTTATGGTCAGAATAAATGCCATGAAGAACACATAGAGCAGCCAAAGAGGAAAATGGAGTCATGGATCATTACAGTGCCCTTTATTACAGTTGTCTTTCTATGGAGAGGAACTCATGCCAAATGGAAAGGTAGTCACTACAGTGGAAAAACGTGAAATGCACACATGATATTATTGTTCCATAATACGTTCCAAAATGGAAATAAACCCTCCATTACAATGGAAGTATTTGCATTTTACAAACAAAATACTGACTTTGTGTCAGAACTGAATATGATCCACCATGTAGTGAAGGCATGGCTATACTGCTTTCTACTGTGCTTTAAACAGATTTTCCTCATTGAAATGCAGTCATAACAGTGAAAACAGTGAAATGCAGTGCACACTTGCCATTACTGTTTCACAGATGGCACACAGAATATGAGCTAAAATGAAAAAAAGAAACTCTACTACACTGTTTTCACCTCTTTTTTGTAGTTCAAATGTATTTGCCTCATTGAAATGCAACCCAAACAGTGAAATGCAGTGTACATGAGATTTAAACACTGGCATGTGCCAAAATGAAAAGTAAAGGATTCGTTACACTGATTTAATGTTGTTTGAAGTGCTGCACGGTGGAAAACAGTGTAGCCGTGCTTTTATTATATCTCAAGGTGGATTGTCTTCAATTCTGACATGAATTCAGCATTTATTTTAAAACGCAAATCCTAATGCATTGTTTTTCAGAGGTCAAGCGTCGTGAAAACGTGTGTAAAGGGCTTGTTTTTCATTTTGACACGTATTCTGCATGTCATCATGGAAAAGTATTGTCATGTGTGCATTGCATTTCATGTTTTTCCACTGTTGTAATTGCCTTTCCATTTGGGATGAATTCTCCTCCACACTCCTACACCACTGCAATACAACCACTATGTTGGCCAGCCTGGCAGCAGCTCCAGCTTAACATCTGTGATGACCTCCACAGGGCTCCTCAGCATTAACACTTTCTTGTGTTAGCCTAGAACCTTCATTCAAACTGGTTGGAAGCAGTGACCGGGTCACTTACTACTCATTACTACTCATCTGTTGATAGACTACCTGGAGTTGCCCTTCTGTTAATAATTAGCAACTGTTGCGAACTTTTATTACCTTTCAGTTATTTAGCACCACACCAGCAATTTCCAGCACATACATTCTGAATTTGATGCTATACATTTTTAAAAGATGTGCACAGGGAAACATGTAAAAGACACCTGATACGCTGCAGAAGTCAATGTTATTTTTCCAGTGCGCCAATCATAAAAAAGAATGTCAGCTTCAGATTTATCTGAGATAAACTTAGCATCAGTCACAAACTGTGTTTATTGACAAAAGTTTGTTAAAATATTCCAGAGCCCATGTGGTTATATCTGTCACAGAAGCGTTTTATAATGCAGTACCATCCGAGGGGTCGAAGGTCATGTGCACTCAGCTGTGGTTTTCAGACTTGCCCTTTGCACACAGAGACTTTTCATTTTTGTTGCAGGCGTCAGTTTCAGAATGAGCCTATATTTACAAAAAACAATAAGGTTGATAAGGTAAAACATTAGATATCTTGTCTTTGTACTGTTTTCTTAGAGGTCAAAGTACATTACAAACCACTGCTTTCTGTTTGTTATTGCCTTTCATACACTGTGCCAACTTTAGTAGAACTGAGGTTTGCACTGTCAAAACAGATTTGAGTTCCAGTACAGAATACATGTGTAAGGGATCAGCCCATGCCACTGCCCACCAGCAGAGGGCGATGGCAGCGAGGCAGTACCAGCCCAGTGAACTCCCAATTCCCAGAAGCCCACAAGCAGTTCAGCATAGCAACTTTGTAGAGGGCTGACTGATATAGCAATCAGAACACAAAAGAGAGAAAAGAAACAAGAGCTGTAAAGTAAAAGGAAAGAGATAACCAGCTCTCAGACAAAGAGTGAAAAGAAACAGGAGCTGTAAAAAAAAACAAACAGCTCCAGAGAATTTCTGCCCAAAAATCCCAAAAGGTTGAAAAAAAACTCAAAAACTTCAAAAACACAAAAGATCACTCAAAACGAATCATCCTATTATCTCTAAAGAAATATAGTTTTGTTTGTGGGTAATTATTTGTTGCATTCTAGGGTACTTTATTTGTATGATAATGCCTCAGACTGCCAGGGGTTCAATCCCGGCCTGAGGTGACTCTACGCCAAAGTTCACAATCATCACACCCCAGCCCGCTCACTGTTCCCCACCATAGCCTGTCGTTCAGCAAATCTTATCCGCACGGTTCAGTTAAATTCTGGTACTCACAGATTTTCCTTTCTGCGTTTACCTCCCTGTAACAACATGACTGTGTAATGATAAAACCAGGTTGTCATGTCACATTAGCCACACAACTGTCAAGAAATGATTAATCACAAATCAGCAGCACCAAAGAGAAAAACCAAGAAAGGGCTCATTTTAACTCAGCTTTGATTTCACTCACTCACTTTTTACTCTTTGAGTCAATCAATAACTCCAGGTTCAAACTTCAATGACCAAAGGAATTAGGACAGCAGCACGGTTGGCAGAAACAGTGGGGGTAAAAATTACAATTATGTATTTGATACTGCAAGTGATATTTGTCCAGCAAATACTGAATCACACAATCACAAATCTTTGCATAAAGGTTTGTATATTTGCTTGAGGTGGATACATTTTTGAGGATAAAACTAGAAATAATAATAATGTAACAATTATTTTGTCAGCAATTCACTATCTGGCCACCAGAGGCCTCCCTCTCCCAAGTACTATCCCTGTTCCCTGAATCAAGCCACCTGCACCTCATCATCTCTCTGATCAGTCACGCCTTAAATACTCCTTCCCTTTCTCTGTAAACTCAGTTCACGTTTCTCATAAATGTTTTTACAGATGTGATATTGAGAGTTTTATTCAGAGTTGATGGAAACATGTTTTTTTGCAACATTTCAGTTTTTGTTTGAATTTTTTTTTGTCCACTGGATGGAAACCTGGCTAATAAAGCAGACATATATTGTTTGCTGTTTTGCACACTTTCTAGGCGTTTCTAGGGAGGCGTTTTTTCTGTGCAGTGCACTCAGCTGAAAAAACTTTAGTGTTCAAGTAGCTTGCAAAACAGCACAGCTTGCATGCTATGTGATCTTCAACATGTATGTTATCAATCCTGAGGATTCAGCATCAGCACTGTGTCTTACTGAGGTGGAATACTGTTATTTGATATCAGATTGTTTAACCTGGGTTTCGTGTTTTATGGTTTCAGGAACGGAACAAGAGGAATCCTGAGCCAACAGGACCACGGAATGCTGCTTTGAGACTCCTTACACATGGTATAAAAGCATGTGATGATGTTATAAGTCCTGTAACATCATGGATTTCCAGGCTTTTTTAATGCGTAGACCCACATTTAGAGGTCAACAGAATTATACAGTTGCACCCAGAAGGAAATGTCAGATTGCAATGCTATTCTGGCAGAAGGTAAAGGTTACCAGGAACAATAAATTATTAAAAAATGTAGACTGATATGTATTTTTTTGAAAAAAGCAAAATAATCCACATTAATTCTTGAAATAAAATAAAATTAGTTGCCAATGAAATAAGACTTTCACTAGATACTATTATCTAAAACAAGCAAAGAAGTCTAAAAACTAGTTTATTATAGCCTTATAATATTCTCATTTAAGATGGTTTCAGTTACCAAGATATACATTTTTGCAGTATATATCAGTTTTCAGTTATGCAGTGTATAAGTCAGTTGTGGTCTTGTAATATCACCACCCTTGTCTGGACCATGTTAAATAATACACTATATGGACAAAAGAACTGGGACACCCCTCCTAATTATTGACTTCAGATGTTTCAGCCACACTCATTGCTAACAGATGATTACAATTAAGTACATAGCCTTAGTCAGCAGAGGATAGGCACTGTGCGCTTCAGCACTCGCCAGTGTTTGTCTATGGAGACTGCAAGACTGTATTTAATTTGATCCACCTGTTAGCAATGAGTGTTGCTGAAACACCTGGACATAGTAATTAGGAGGGGTGTCCACATGGTTTTATTTAATATTAGTGTCTGACCTCACAAATGCTCTTCTGAATGAATGGGCAGAAATTCCCACAGACTCTCCTACATCTTGTAGAAGCTTCCCAGAAGAATGGAAGCTGTTGGAGCTGCAAAGGGGGACCAACTCCATATTAATGCCTGTGGTTTTAGAATGGGATTCACAAAAGCTCCTGCAGGTGTGATGTATTCCCAATACTTTTGTCCATATGGTGTTTATAAAGTTAAAGTTCGAAAAAGATACATCTCTGAAAATGCCTATATCCACTTTTAGGGCAGTAATTTAGATGCTTAAAACACACAGAGCCATAGTGAACCTGTCTGGAAGAGAAGACATGTTTATTTTACCCCCACGCACAGTAAGGAGTACCTCCATGCCAACAAGGTAGACACTGCTAGAACTTTGGTATTGGGTTCCATAGTCAGATGAGACAAAAATAGATGTTAACATGGGTTTGGCATAAAAGAAAAGTGGTTATGCATGATAGAACCTCATCTCCACTGTGTTCTCCAACAAAGCAAGCATTTTATGGAATGACTCAATGCTGTTATGTTGGCAAAGGAAGGCTGCAAAAAGCACTAAATCCACAAATGTTAATAATTGTGACATGATTATGTAAAAAAAAATAGAGTAAATGAACTTCAAAAGACATAAATAAACAAAGTCAGATTTCTCCCATGTTTTCATTCTGAAATTGAAGTAATTAACCACAGACTTTTTTTTCCATCCTTACCAAGGGTGCCAATAATTATGAAGCTGAATGTAGGTAAATCAACGCAAGAGGAATTTGAAGCCCCTCAACCTACTAACTGCCCACTTATAACTTTACAAGTCAGTCTGAGCACTGAACAATATTGTGGCCAAGAAATGTGTTTGACATGTTAAATCTAGGTTAAATGTTCTACAGCATTTATTCGTGGGGTTATTCTACAAGGACTCTTATTGTGAAGACAGGGTTAGCTCACTGGGCTGTATATATATATGTGAATCTGGAAGAACTGAGATCAGTCTAATGGTGAAATGTCTAGAGGCAAAATGTCTCTATCTAAGCAACACAAGTATAAGCAGGGGTGTAAAGAGTACTGAAAATCCCTACTTAAGTACAAGTACTCTTACTGTAGTGATAATTTACTCAAGTACAAGCAAAAGTATTAGTAAACAAAATGATTTAGGTAGAGTTAATAAGTAGTTTATTTCATATTTTCGCTGTCACAACCTGAACATATTTCTGAGCTACTCGGCTACATCACTGGAAATAATCTGCACAGAAAAACACTAAAGTAAACATGATATTATGTGGGAAAAAAGTTCTGAGAGCTGAGACTGATCACAGTTCACTCTGCTAGAGCACACCTACACACCTTTCTGTGAGCTGTGTCAGGAACAAGGTTTACAGTAAACTGTATGTGTTTCATGGTTAGATGATTATATAAGACTTTCAAGTTTATCTGTTTCCAATAAAGTATTTTAGAGTCCCTGAAAGACGGTGCAGAGGCTGTTACTGTTTAATAAAGTTCGTTTACGAGAAAAAAAACTCAAAATGATGAGTAGATTGCTTTATTAGTAGATCCCAGATGGGCCTAAAAAAGGAGTTGAAACTGAAAGTGGTACAATGTGACAGTTTTACTCTCATTTGTGATTAAAAAAATGTTCTATGCAAAGATAAATGTAAACACACATGCACAGCTGGAACCTTGACATTGTTACTACTGAGTTATCAGTAAACTAGTCAGAGCACTGCAGTAACACACAGTAGTGTCTAAGCACATCTTTCCCCTTCATTTACAGCTGATAGTGACAATTACCCAAGTATATTTCTTCTTTTAGTAATTATCTGCATTTAACAATTAATACATTCTTAAAAAACAAACAACATGGCCCGTTTGACTGTAACGACAACAAGTGCATGGCAGGAGAAGGGCTGGGAGCAGAGCAGCTAACCTGATAGAAATGACGAGAAGAGGAGAGAGAATAAGCAGACAGACAGAGCAAGTAAAGCATTCTCTGGTAACACTTTACTGTAGGGTGCTGTTCATAAGGCTACATGACAGCTACATAAACTTGTCATGACGACTGACATAACCCTGCATAACTGTTTATAAATGCTTATTCCAACAGGTGCCATCTGTCATAAATGCTACTTTAGCCGACTTTGATCAAAATTGGCAAACGTAACCTTTATAGCGGATGATTGTTGGAATACACATTTATAAACATTTATGTAGGATTATGCCAGTTAGGACAAGCTAATGTAGCTGTCATGTAGCCTTATGAACAGTGCCCTACAGTAAGGTGTTACCCATTCTCCTTCTCTGCTAACGTCAGGAATATTACTCTGACTTAAACATATTAGAATTCATATATTTAATATCTTTATCAGATTAGATGGATTATTTCAAGAAGAGTTTATATGAGGAATATGAGTCAGAAGCATAGATAGACTGTAGAACCTGGAGAATCTAAAACACTGATTTAACTCCATTTCACAAGAGAAGCTGAATGAATGCTCTCTATATAAGTAAATGCAGAAATAGTGATTGCAAATATTCATTACATCATTATGAATTTGATCTAAATTAGTTACATGTACAGAATTTAGCAGACACCCTTATCCAGAGCTACTTAAAAAAGTGCTTACTCAGAGAAAGTTTCCTAGCTAGAACAAACAGGAGTCCAAACTAACCCTGAGCTCAAACACTGCCAGAAAACAAAAGCTAGAGCTGATACCTAGAATGGAAAACTGAACAAAGAAGAAGTGCAGTACAGTACATTCCAATAAGTACTTAGTTCAGTGTTCACTTCAGTGCTTCACAAAGAGATGGTCCTCAGTTTGGGTTTGAAGACTGTGTGAGAGTCTGTTGTTTGGACAGCCAGGGGGAGTTTGTTTCACCATCTGGGCTCCAGGACAGAGAATGAGTCCTGATGCTCGTCTTCCAAGGATGTCAGGTCAAGCCGAGCTGTACTTGAAGCTCAAAAGGATCGAGGTACAGATTAAGTTTTGAGATTTGCCATCAGGTAAGAGGAGGCTGGTCCATTCTTGGCTTTGAGGCATCAGGGTTTTAAAACTTGTTCTTGGCCTGCTTTATTTTGTGAAATGGACAATCTCAATTGGCAGAATGGATAGTTTCAATTTTAAAACAAGTCTGAAACATTCAAAGATAAGACAAATATGCATTTTAATCTGTTTTCATGTCTGTCTAAATACAAAACCACACAATAATGTTACAATAAAGTTACTGTTTATAACATAAATACAACTCATTGCAACTCATTAATGAATACTAAAATAATGAACTGTTATGTTACTTACAATTACAACAAAAACCCACTGGTTTTATTTTGTTTATTAAGTACAGCAGCATGTTTTAGCAGTCAGAGCAGACACTGCCTGAACACTCTGCATAAAGTTTGATGTTTTTCTAGTTGTTAGCTGCTAGTTAGATCACTGACTTTGTTCTAATTAATTAGTGACAAGCAGAAGAAAAGGGTGATATAACCCCTTGTGTTATCACTGTGAAAATATAGCACAGCCCATAAACTAGAATAAATTCACTTTAAAATAAAAGTATACTGACAAGCAGTAATATTCCCTGAAACATTATGATGGTTCGTGTATTTTCCAATATCGCCTTATTGTGTCATATGTTTTTGGCCCCTTTAATGCCTCTAAAAATCACATTGGAGAAAGTAATTAATGAAATGATTATGAATACATAATATACAGGGTGCTGTGAGACAAAATAGTCCCCAAAGAAAACTTATTATTTCAGATTTTCCATTATTTTCCATCATCAACATTCCATATAAACTCAGAAGACTCGTGTAGGTTCACTGGTGGTTCTGGATAGTAAATAAAATGTCTATATCTGTGTTGTAGTCATGGCGACCCCTGGTTCCTATCACCACCACTGTAAAGACATCTGAACCATTTCACACCAAACCTCTCTGAATCTCTCTATTTACATCTCACACACTGGATTATACAGAAGTTCAAAAATCATTGGAATTCCCCTTTAACAGCTGAGCTTACTCATGACCTGGTGACAGTTACAGTCATATGCAAAAGTTTGGACACCCCTGGTTAAATAACAATAAGTTTTTTATTTTCTAAATGTAAATAAGTGATCTTGTCCTCTACAGAGACACACTTCTGCACACTTTAATGCACAGTTACTGTTTATTTACTGAGTTATAACATAACATAAAACATAAAACGTGGCCTATGAGGTGGTGAAAATAATATGAAGGAAGAATAAAGTTATGAGTACAGCAGGAGGAAGTACAGTAAAAGTGCAGGAAGTGTAAGGCGAGCTGTCAGTTTAGCCCAACACATATTTGAGAAATGATGTTGGAACAAATTTTTAAAAGTTGTAGTGAACGTTTTAAAAATGATTGTTTACATACATCAAACTCCATTTAGAGTTTAATACAGTAAGTTTATTTTCATGAGTAC